ATTTTCACGGTTGCGGGTTCGGGTCCAAAACTTCCCTAATGTTGGTTAAAACAATAACACTAATCCGTAAAACGAGCCCCCCCCCCCCCCTGTAACTCAAGAATCATAATAGCTAGGGACTTCTAATTTGTATGCTCATTGTTCACACCGAATGCTGATCACCCAGGAAGTGTAGGCCTCTTTTCCTTGATAGTTCAATTGTGTGGCCAAGGCGTTCAAAAACGAAATGCACTTCGAATCGTGCAGACTGGTAGTTTGAAATTTGTATATCATAAAAATGTAACACTCCACTTCGTTTAATTCGTTCAGTTCGTAAATGCATCTTGCTAAGCGTGGACGAATAGCAGGAATTTCAAAATTAGATGTTGCTGAAAATTCTCAGCGTTTTACGAATATGAAAATACAACTGGTTGAGGAGTCAGCTAATTTGCAAATGCACTTCGCTGTGGACGCGTGAATTCGCACAAAGCGTGTTGACCAGATTATTATACCAGATTAGAGTTATGCGAACTATCATAATTCACAAACCTTTTATCCCTGTGTCGAAAAATCTGCAAATTGCTCGCTTTTTGTAATTTGCAAACAATTGCAAAATCTGAGAATTCGCAACTTCGTTGCTGTTAACGTAGATCAAAAGGGAAAAGATTTTTCCTCTAGGTAAAAAAATCTGCAGATTGCCTGCACTTTGCACATTGCATTCAATTCGTATGTGCAAACTGCGAATTTGTTTTTATCTCTAACATGAACGGTAGTGAACTTGATTTCGTTTTCCACTATTTATCATACGTACTCATCTACGAATTCGCACAGTTTAATATGAATTAACTACAATGTGCAAGCAATTTGCAGATTTTCAGAGCCGTACGGAAACCTTTTCTTTGGTTTGTAAAAACTTATTTTGCCCGTTCGAAAAAGGTCAACAACTTGCTAGTGCTGTTTGTTTACTCTAGCGTGCATCAAATTAGTTCCAGTAAAAGAAGCGCTATGATACAAAAGAGTTGCTTTATTGGCAAAAATTCTATACCTGAAGTTGTAAAAAAAGAGAGAAGACTTTGTAATTCAGAAAAGATGTTTAATTTTTTGTTTTACCTACACGCACACACAGAGGAAAAATCCTCAACAAAAACACATCGGGAGAAAACAAGAAAAATATGGCCTACAAGAAAAGAAAACGGTAACAATTATGAAAACAAAAATTTGACTAATTTGTTTTTCGCTTGCATGTATCCGATTGCAAAGACTAATTCTCCCATTTGGCTAATATATCAGCTTCTTTGAAGAGGAAATATTCTTTATCATTTAATTCGACTTTCGTACCACCATATTCCGGTAATAGTACTTTATCACCAGGTTGAACACTAACACTCACGTGTGTACCATCCTAAGTTGAAATGAGAGATTAAGAAAACTGAATGAAAAGTTCAATTTTTTATGTTACCACTTACTTTCTGACGAATTCCTTTTCCAACAGCTACAACAGTTGCATTTAAAACTTTCCCTAGTGCTTTCTCTGGAAGATGAATACCACCTTTTGTTTTTGTTTCAGCTGCAAATCTTTCGACGAGCACACGATCAAATAAAGGAATAACTTTTTTCAACGCACCAGTTGCCTAAAAATGAAAATGTGTGTAAAATAGTGACCTGTCAATGGTTGCGCCGGTTTTGCGAATATAAAATTTCTGCGAAGCTCGAACAAAGTGATTTGCAAATTGTTCAACACAACATTCTCATTACATCAGTCCATTTTTTACAGTTTTAGTATAAGACAGACGATGAGTCTTTAACACTGACAGTGTATAGAACAGAAGTACAAAACAATAAATTTGGTTTTTTTAAACAAACTATAGACTTACCATTTTATGAGTAATTAAATTTAATTTACTTCCACTGTTGACAAAAAGAACTACGGGAACTTTTTCCGCTTAAAGTTTGTCGATTTTAGAAAAATAACACTTTTTTTATGACAACAATTTTGTCTTTCTCCTTTTTTGTGATATAAATATTACTTATCCTCTTTCTTTCTCCACTAAACACGTGTTGATTCTACATGGAATAAAAAAGAACGAAAGAAAGATAATATTATAAAGGTTAAAAGTGTACATTATATATATATTGCATCATCTTTTTCCTGATTGTCTCGAAAGTTCCCGTCGTCCTTTTTGTTTTTCTTTTCTTCACTTGTGTATTTTAATTTTTCATGTGGAAATCAGCCAACTATTTTTACTGTAAGCATTTTTTTAAAATATCATTGGTTCGGTTCGCCTTTCGCCGGGCCACGATAGTAAATAAAACTGAATCAAAACAGTATCTGTTCATCCCATTCGCACTATTTTTTTGTTTTTCTTGGCAAGGGCGAGTAGACAAAGATACTAAGTACAGTTTTTGATGAGTTGCTGTAGTGTTTTTTACAACTTATATGAGATTTTTGGAAAGTTAATCTTAAATTTTAAAGTATCCCGATGTCCATACTATAGAACTTTCTTTAAATGATGTTTGTTTATTTTCTACTTTTAATCTCTCTCAATGAACTGAAAATAAAGTGAATTATCTCTATTAGTACACTGTAAATTATCGAATTGTCACACTTTCACACTGTTGGATAAATGATTATCTCACATACTCTATAGTGTTGATTTAACTTTGTTGATTGCAATTATCATCATTTTCCTCTAAGATTTTGTTTTTGTAGCATATATCGAATTAAAATGTTTGTAGATTTTTGAGGAAACTTACTTTCATTACAATTATAAATTTTGTTGATTAAAAGACAGATAACAACATTTTTTTTCTCATTTAGATTAGGTGAATTATTTGTTTATTTTTTTTCATATTGTTATTTGTTCTTTTCCATCATGTTTCGTCTGGCTAATCTGGGTAGTCGATCATCATCGGCAATAATTTCTCAAATAATAAAACGTACATATGCTAAAGAAATCAAATTTGGCTCAGAAGCTCGTGTACTAATGTTACAGGGTGTGGATATATTGGCAGATGCTGTCGCTGTCACTATGGGTCCAAAGGTTAGTATTTATTATGCTTCGTATAGAAGATAAATGGTTTTCACTTTGAATCTGTTAGCATTCAAGTCTCTTAGCCATAAAACCATGAATGATAAAAATTTATTCAATATGCGTACTAATTGACTTATTGTATTTTTGTTTTTAGGGACGAAATGTTATTCTTGAACAAAGTTGGGGTTCACCGAAAATAACAAAAGATGGTGTCACAGTGGCTAAAGGAATTGAACTAAAAGATAAATTTCAAAATATTGGTGCAAAATTGGTACAAGATGTAGCCAATAATACAAATGAAGAAGCTGGTATGTTTTTTCAAATCTATTTATACACTGAACATAGTTACGGAATGATTTTTTGTTTTGCCTTTAGGTGATGGAACAACAGCAGCAACAATTCTTGCACGTGCGATAGCCAAAGAAGGTTTCGATAAAATAAGTCGAGGTGCGAATCCAATCGAAGTACGAAGAGGCGTTATGTTAGCTATTACAGCTGTCGTTGCTGAGTTAAAAAAAATGTCCAAACAAGTAACTACACCAGAAGAAATCGCTCAGGTACGGTTACTCATTCCTAAACAAAATAGCCCGAAAATATTTTGAATTAAGTTGATGTATTTTGCAGGTAGCAACAATTTCTGCTAATGGAGATGTATCGATTGGTGACATTTTGTCAAATGCAATGAAAAAAGTGGGAAAAGATGGCGTTATCACAGTCAAGGTAAAGTGAAAATTCAAGAGAAGACGTCGATAATTAGTAGTAGCACCAACTAACTTTTAAACACTATCTAATACCCCCACAACATGTTAGCTTTTATTAAGATTTTCTTCTATCATATTACCTAGCTCTTTTTATTTAGGACGGAAAAACTCTAATTGATGAATTGGAAGTTATTGAAGGAATGAAATTCGATCGTGGTTTTATCTCACCTTACTTTATTAATACATCTAAAGGTAATTAAACGTTTTTCTTTTTCATTTAATCTGGAGTCACACATAACAAAATATCCGTGTTCTTTCCCTTTAAAGGTGCAAAATGTGAATTTCAAGATGCACTTACACTTCTTAGTGAGAAAAAAATATCATCTGCTCAAGAATTGCTTCCAGCCCTTGAATTAGCCAATAGCTCAAGAAAACCGTTATTGATCATAGCTGAAGATATTGATGGAGAAGCATTAACTACTCTTGTTCTTAATAGGTAAGTTACTTTTATCTCGGTGTAAAACAGATAACCACTACGCTCTACTTTTGTCTACTTTAGACTAAAAGTTGGTTTACAAGTATGTGCTGTGAAGGCCCCCGGATTTGGTGATAATAGAAAAAACACATTGAAAGATATCTCAATTGCATGTGGTGGAACAGTGTTTGGTGACGAAGCAAATATAGCGAAATTAGATGAAATACAAGCAAGCGATTTTGGACGTGTAGGTGAAGTATCAGTAACGAAAGACGATACATTATTAATTAGAGGTAAAGGTGATCCACAAGGTATACAACGCCGAATTGATCATATAAGAGAAGAAGTCGAAGAAACAAATAGTGAATATGAAAAAGAAAAATTACAGGAACGTTTAGCTAAATTATCAAATGGAATTGCTGTTTTGAAAGTGGGTGGTTCGTCCGAGGTGGAAGTGAATGAGAAAAAAGATCGTATTACTGATGCATTGAATGCCACACGAGCAGCAATTGAAGAAGGAATTGTACCTGGCGGTGGTGTGGCACTTTTGAGGTGTCTGAAAACATTAGATAAAGATGTACCAACGACTAACGAGGATCAGAAAATTGGTAAGTAGTTGGTGTCTGGAGGTGCTGAATGAGTTGAGAAATTTTTAACTTGTTTTAGGCGTTGAAATTGTGCGAAAAGCGTTACGTATGCCATGTTTTACAATTGCTAAAAATGCCGGTAAAGATGGCAGTGTTATTGTTGAAAAAATCATTAATAGTTCATTTGAAATTGGGTATGACGCACAGACAGATCAGTTTGTTGATATGGTGAAAGCTGGAATTATTGATCCAACCAAAGTATGTTCGCGTTTCTATATGCACTACGTATTTTTTTATATGTCATGTTTTCATTTAGGTTGTTCGATCAGCATTACAAGATGCCAGTGGTGTTGCATCATTATTAACAACGGCTGAAGTTGTTGTTGTTGAAATGCCTAAACCTGAAAAAGAAGCAGCAGCCCCTGGGATGGGTGGCGGTATGGGTGGTATGGGCGGTATGGGTGGAATGTATTAGAAAGTCTCTTTTCCTAGCACAATAAAATTGAGAGAAATGATTACATAAAGGATAGTTTCGCGATAATTGTTATCAGATACATATTTAGTGTATGTAAGAGTGTGTTTCTGTTTTCTTTTCTATTCCTGTTGTTATTTTCTTTTTGTACCGTTTTTTTGTAATATGTATGAGTTCTGTTTTTAGGTAATAAAAACTCACAAACAAATGAATAGTAATGAATGAACTAAAAGTAACATATTCTTTTCAATGAGAAAAGCCATCCATTAATTAGAATAAATGTTCTGTCGACAAGAGCAAAATTTAATAGCAAATCATTAGAGTACGCCATTTGTTAGTAAATTGTTCATTTCAGGATATCTATACCTATTATTTATTTTTAAAACACCCACGTAGGTAACAGTTTTTTTTTATTGTTAATCAAAACAAATCGAGATGACATCGAACATAATAACGCTCGTCTGAGTTTCTAATATTTGAAAGTCTCATCGTGACCATTTTAAGTACGTCGGTTATATTTTACCATAGTTGATGAAACTGAAGTAGAAGTTAAAATGAGTATTGTTGAAGGCAACTGTTAAGAATGTATGATCAGACATATTAAATACGACAATTATATGATGGTACAGGATTTGCACTAGCATTCTATGCTTTACCAGAGATCAGTGCATTTGACTATTATTCAACTAAATAATTTCGGTAATCGTTTTCAACTATTTGATTATTTTATGTTACATAAATCAACCTATGTTGAACCCGATGATGAACCAATAAATTATTACTGTATTGGTGCAGGATTATGTCTTCAAGTTAATGCAGCTAATAGTGAAACTCTAATTGAATGTAATAAAGAGACGTGTGCATTTAAAACTTTCACATTTTTTTCTGACTTGCTCGTCATATTTTGATGATATCTGAGAAAACATTCATGCATTCTACCTAAGACGTATTAAACAAAACTTTTATATATCAATTGAAAACGGAGAAAATGAGTTAAAAAATGATATAGGATCAATGATGAACATATGGTATATGTGAGAGAGAAGATGCAGACAAACTTATCTAGAAACTCTGTTGCATCCCGTTAAAATGGTTTACTTTTAATAATTTTATGATTCGATACTTACATCTTATGATTGGAAGATACAGAGATGAGTCTTTAGAAATGAGTATGAAGCGTATAGCATCTGCTATTTAAAACAGCGCAGTAGTAAGATCATTACTTTGCATATAGAAGTGTGAAATCATGAATTTAGAACGCCTATTGGCTCAATTGTAGGGTTCTATAGAAATGCAACAATTAAAATTTAGTTTTATTGATATTAATGCGAACTAAGACTTGTTTGCGAACTCTTTCTCTTTTATTATCTCGCAACATGTTAATTCTGTAACGAAGGATTTAATTCGACATATGATCTATTGCAGCATAGTTTCGATCAAAGAAACAATCGTTATATTCTTAACGGTGACGTTTCACATAAACAACGAAGTATATGAAAAGAATGCTTGCAGATTTTTACCATGAGTAGATCTAATACGTATTTTCAGTTTCTGAGAAACTTTGTATTATTTTTACTGTCAACAAGAAATAACCAGATAGAGAATTAAAGTAGAGAAGAAAGATTAAGGAAAATAGCCTAATGAGTGTTCAAGTTCGTTTAGTCTTCCGTTCATCATATTTATGCGATGATTCGAATTGTTCTGATGATGGTAGCCATTTTTGATAACACCATTTTGTTGATGTGAATGGCCATTTGCTGTTGTTATTTGAGACTGATACTGTTGTTGTTGCTGTTCGGCACCATACAATTCGTCAGCTCGATTTATATGTCTTAAATGTTGTCGATAATCTAAAATTTTATGATCAAATGATGGAATACGTTTTTTTATTCCGTTATTTGCCGTTTTTAATGTGAAAGACGAGGAAGTCGGCTCAGATGTACGATTGATATCTACATGTCTTAAATGTAAACGATTGGGAGCTCCAGGAAATACTTTAATGCCACCAATCACTTGTTTGGGATTTGAATCATGTTGTTGTTGTTGCGGGTCAGTAATATAATCACTGAAAGAATTACGAATCGGACCAATAGTTCCATGCACGAATGATGACATTGCTTGACCATTAATCACATAGGCGTTGTTATTATCGTTCTTCATCAGTTTTATTTGTAAATTTGTGTTTGTGTCTAATACCGCTCGTGGTATTCGATGTTGATACTGCGGATATCCATCGTCATATTCATAATCAACGGAATTATTGGATAACATGGGTAATTGTGAATGTTTGGGATTTGACAGATCTTTTTTATACGGTGAAAATTGAGAATTGTCGTTTTGTTTGCTAGAAAGTCAAAAAAAACAATAAGAAATCTTTAAGGCTTGATTTATACGTTTAATACTTACATTCGAGTAGCAGCAACACCATTTGATTGTTGTTGCTGTGGTGTTATAAAATCTGTTTGTGCACGTTGTTGTTTGAGATTGTTACCGCCGTTATGATATCCATTATGGTGTGGTGTAATTCTATCAGTATTATAGTCTCGTTGATTTAAACATGGTGATGAACAATAGAGATTATTATTACTATTGTTGGCAAAATCAATATTTAAAAATCCATTAATAATGTGGCCATTATTTGCACGAAAAAAAATATTATCGTTACTATCTGATTTTAACGTTTTAAACCATGTAGATGATTTTTGCTGTTGTTGATGTTGCTGAGATAGATGGCCATTTTCGTTTCTCAATAATTTTGGTACATAGTTTCCAATGTCACCATATCGATTGAGAACAAGTTGTGGTCGAAGTAAATGTCCACTATTTTCAATTCCATTTGATTTCAAAGATGAAATGGGAGGTGGCAGTGGTGGTGGACTTTTTTCTATATATGTGGATGATGATCGGATAGTAGTAGGTGTATTGGTTGCGGATAATATAGTGGGCAGTAAATGAGGTGAACGTACACGTTTTTTACCTAAACCAAATAGACGATTGGCTGAACGAGGACGTGAAGATGAATCGGTTCTCGGTTGATGTTGTTGTTGTTGAATTCGTTTTTTCATTGTATTCAAACTTGATTGTAGATTTGTTTGATCTAATTTTTGTTGATCTAATGATATAAATGATGAACGTCGTTGAATATGTTGTTGTTGTTGTTGTTGGTAGTGTTCATCTTTTAATGTATTTTTTAAATTTTCAGCATAAATACTTAATAATTCATTAACAACTTCAATTGACTCTAAATCTTGATCGTCGTCGTTGGTTAGGCTATTTGATGCTTTAATAAAATGTCTTTCTTTGTTATTGTTATGTAATTGATCTTGTTCATCATATTCTTTTTCTTCCTCATTTCGGCTACTACGTTGTTTAATATTTAAAGTGCGCAAGGGAGATGATGATGACAACAACGAACAAGAAGAATGTGATTCAGTATTTGTTAGATTATTATTTAATGCTTTTTGTGTGACATCATCACTACCACTACTTTTTTTTTGTTGTTCTTCACATGGCAATGATGAACGAATATCATTTGAATAAGCAATTGAGACTGAACGACGATTCTATTTTAAAGTAAACACTTTCATTTAGAATAAGTAAAAAGTAAAAATTCGATCAGTTGAACGTATGCCAAATTGCTCGAACTCAAGGATATTATCAGATACTTTACTTTAGTAATCTTTATATAACTGTTGAAATTAGAATTTATTAGTTTAGAAAGCAAACATACCTTGGAATTTGTGTTTATTTCTACTTGACTATGTTCCATGGCTGATACAGGACGATGTCGATTGAGATATTTTGTTTTAATTCTTGTTTGTTGATCATTATTATCATTATTATTATTTTTATTTAAATGTTCTAATTTCAGTAATGTTGACGTTGTTTTTAATAATGGACTTGGTGAACGTTTTGATAACAGTTTTCGAATCATATCGCAAAATTCAAATGCTCTCGATTCTTTTAACATTAGAAATGTATGGCAATCCAATGAACTTATACCCAATGTTGTACCAATTTTTCTCATTATTAATAAACATATTGGTGGATGCCAATTTAAATTAAGTAATTGATTTTGTGTTTTATCAATTGTCGAATATAATGATTGAAAACGAGATTCATTCTCACAACCTAAAAATTAAATAATCATATAAAGAAGATAAAGAAAAGATTATTGTATATCTGTTGATTTTTTAATTAAAAATCCGTCTCACTTAATTAAGTATCCTCGTCGGGTCGATTGATCCGCAGTCAAATAAATAAAAATAAGTGAATACTAGATCATATAAGGTTAGTAAATAACATACATAATGAGTTAGAGTTGAATAACCTTCACTTATATCAACAGACTTTATAAAAAAAGTAATTGGACAGAGAATATATACGTATGTCTGGATAAACATTTGTCAGATTGTCTCCAAATAAAATCATGGTTCGTATAAGCCAAAAGATTTTTAAACATACTGACCGTGATTTTTCTTTTTTTAAACGTCAAAATTTGTGAGATTATCGTGTTAAGACTAATTCGCTAGTTAGACATTATTTCCGAGAATGAAATGTTTGGATTCATCTATCATTTGAGCTTTTCTCTCATCAAACTTGTGGTCAAGATCTTGGTCAAGCCAGATACTTGTTATAAGCTGTTTCACCCTCTAACAGCTCAGGAGATTTTTATGCTTAAATGAAATGAACGTTAGTTGATTAGAAAATTTTTTTGATTAGCTACGTAAAATCTAGTATCACACTTAACTTTGATTACTCTTGAATAGAAAATATTTTCAAATGTGAAAATAGTTTGTGGTTTGTGTCAAAATAACTGTTTTCTGTTGTTTTTTCTAGTTCTACGATGTTCTAATTGAATTTTCTTAACTTGAGCAGCTAGTAGTTTCTTTCTATCCTTGTGAAATAGAGATGTGCACGGTAGCTGTTTGTTGAACCCTAATTCTACCCTGTGAAAATTTGTTGAAATCTAGTTCTGCTCTATTCTGCGGGGTAGGGGCACCGTGCACATCTCTACTATGAAACTTCTTCAAATTAAGATTTTGGTTAAAATGAATAAAATGACACTTTTTCTTGCTGTTAGTTCAGCTGAACATATGTTATATAAAAGCATTTCTCATAAAACTTATACTTTATAAATCAGTTATAGAAAAAAAATTGACTTACCGGTACTAAAACTCGATAAAATGACAATATATCATTTTTAAAAAGTATTTAAGGTTAAATGTGCTTTTATTATACATATACAAGATTATTTCATTTCATTAATATGTTCATCACGTGTCTGACTTCATGTAGACTGTATTTTACACTTAAATGTTTTAAACATTGATTAAGCGAACGTTAACTATATTAAGAACATGTTTAAAATGAGTAATAGTAAAACATGAAGACACTCACAGACACCTATAGACACCCACAGACAGCACACAGACATCCACAGACAACCCAGAACACAGGCATCTACTTCTGCAGACGTAGAAGTGGATGTCTGTCTAGTTGCTTTGGGTTGTCTGTAGATGTCTGTGGAGCTGTCTGTGTGCTGTCTGTGGGTGTCTTCATGTTTTACTATTATCTGTTTGAAACACTGTTAAGTCAGCATAGTAGTAGTATTTAGCACTCTTCCTTCCAAAAAATAACCTTGCTTTATTGGGTTTCGAAGTTGAACATTATATTTTCGACAATAATCAAAGGTCAAATATGTTAGAGACGATGTCTCGTTTTGTCAGCAAATCCGGTCAGTAGGAAGAAAATGAGACTTACCAATTGGTAAAAATGCCATTGAAAATTTTTTTTCTTCTACTAATGCTTGTTTATTCATGTAGAGTCCTAACGCTTGTACATCTACAATTGAATTAATATCGGAATAAATTAATTTTTTTCCTTTTAATGCGGCGTCTGGTTCAAACATAATTATATCTGTTGTTGATATAATAATACGACGTTCTTCTAATGGAACTTGATGACGTCTACGATACGGTATATATAATTCACGTAGCGGTTTTTGTAGTGCATATAGATTCGGTGGACTTTTGCCTAATTGAATTGAACCCAAGTAAGGTAATTGTAATGAGTAGGCACCCGTACAAAATCCATTACTAGCAGCCATTTGGTTACTTCTTTTTCTTGCCGACAAATGACCAGTGGTCGTTGATAAATTTATTCTTCATTCAAATAAAAAGTGTATGTCTGGTAATTTTTCTATCGAAGAAGATTGAACGCAACAGATTTTCTCTCTTTGTCAAGGATGATAATTTCTTTTTTCTTTCTCTTCTCTCATTCTTCGACTTTGTGACAAACTGTTCTTTTCGTATAGTAAATCAAGTGGAGAAGAAGAGAAAAGACTAAGTTTGTATAGACATTTGTCAATTTATTCTAGTATCAACGATGGTACATGGATTTATGCATGTTCATATAGAGTAGACAGAAAAGTAATCTTTATATATGGCACAATAAAAAGAGATTAGTTCAATCTCTATTCTTAAAATCATAATCAAGGATACATGTTTGTGAGTGAGAATCCAAATAAGTTTAATGTATGCATATTTCACACGTATTCGTTTTCGATGAACGGGTATATTCGTGACATGAACATAATTTAGATTATAGGACAAATGTATTAGTAATTTCAGTCTTCGAAAGAAAACATTGATCACTGTAAGTTTTTATTCAACTTTTATCAGATCAGAAGATTAAATTTGATCATTAAGTTTTGTTCAATTAAGTAGGACAATTTTAAAGAATACATTGTAATTATCAGCATGTGTTGTTGGACTTCTATATGCTGTGTTTTATAAAATTTTATGATGCCGAAGCCAGTGGCTTGTAGAATGTGAAGAGATCGCACGTTTTAAACTAAGTAATAACGTGTTGAACATGCTTGCAGCATGATGTTCACATCCATTTAGTTTTTAATGATTCCTTGTAGTAGTTGATAATCAGCTACTGGGAATGCAGTACACAGTGTACCAACGACCATCTTATTCACTGTTGAATGCAGGATTGGTAAACATGAGAGTTACATTTGGTTTCAACTACAAATATGTAAAAGGGTTATTTGTACTAATCACATCGACGAGAGAGAAAGAGAGAGAGAGTGAGAGAGAAAGTGCACATCGTGGCCTATTGTACATTTTTAATTTGAAGTAGAGGAGATTCTTTTTTTGTTTAATTTTGTATACCTTATACGACAAAATAGAATGAATTAAAGTAAATTCTTGAGCATACATTGACAACGACGAGGTTAATACCAACAACGAATAGTAACAACGAAAAAAGATTTAAATTAAGATAACATAATTTTTAGTATATACATATATCTATATGCAGCATGCACAATGAAGAGTAGAAGAAATTAAACGTTCAAAGATCACGTATTGGTCAAGGAATGAAACTCGATCATCTATGCTCTGTTGTAAGGAAGACCTCACTGAAATCGTCGCACTTCTCAATACTATAATTTTTATATGGTCCCCAAATTAATCTTTCATTCAATATTGATTTATTTCTCGATTCAATTTTTATTTCTCTTTTGATGTTCTTAGAAAAACAAACTTTTTTTAAAACAAAGAAACACCCGAATTTTTTGCAGTCAAGTTGATTACAAATAAACTTCATATGTTCAACATAAAACAGCCAAACTTTACTATGATACATGTCTAGAAACAATTTAGGCCAGGTTCACACTCAGACTGACATCTTAAATGTATCCCTAGATGTCAAGAATTACACGAATGCTGGTTAGATCAAGCTTTTGAGTTCATATGCCAAATATCAGATGACAAATGTATATCTACATTCTTATTTCCGATCAGGCAATAAGTCTAGCTACTAAGTCCTTTTGTAAATGAAAAAATAAAACAATATTTGATCATCTTACACTTGAACACACAAAGCTGCCATGAGCTACAATTTGACATTTTTCCATTTCAAGCTTTCTTTAACTTTTTTGATATGATAGCGCCAGTATAGAAAAGCAGTTTAATGTTTGTTGTTGTATTAGATCACCAAAACATTCATCGTAGTGATAGATCCGTTTCAGAAAGCGTTTTTTTCTGAAATCTCAAAATATTCGATCGTTACAAAGTAATACAGGTCAAAACTTTTATCAAAATCGCTGTCTTTATTTGCGGCAATAACCCGCCATAGAGAACACATTTGCTTAGAAAAATAATTCAAACATTTATATTTAACTTTCTGTGACGACGTTTTCTGAACTTTGTTTTCGCTACTGTCTACCAGAAATGATTGTGGATTTCCAGAAATTTTCAACCTACTCTTGAACACAAAGGTATATGGGATTTTCAGAAAAAATTTTTAAATAGATTAACGACTTCTAGGTTAAACGCTCGTTCAAGTTGTTAAGGAGCATAAATAAATCTAGCTTAGATATATTTAGGAATATGTGCAAAATTGACGACTTACACGTCTTGTGTGTCGTTGTATTTTGAATTTCTTTCGGATTATTAGTACAGCATTTTCAATATGACTTTTGAACACTCATAAGAACGGTATAAAATTATGATTTTATATGACTGGAAATTTGTACTTTCAGGTGTGCGTATTCTTCCTTCTGTTCAGAAACTTTCAGTTCTTTAATTTCAGATGTGTAATATGAGCGATAAACTTAACAACGTAACAAAATACTACAAGGACATTCTAAAAGTTCGTCAGTCCTTCAGTCGAATATTGAAAGTTGATTCTGTAGTTTTTAGATCTGGAGGATATGGTCGATTTGGATATGGTTCAACGTAATTTTCTGCCAACTTTGTAGGTAAATCAGACCCTACATTGTTAAGGCCCACCCCCCACCCAAAACTCCCCCCTACATTGTTTCTGCTTACGAGCATCCGATCTTAATGAAACTTTCAGAGATGGTGTATCCAGGTATGATGACCTCACAGTAAAAATTTCAGCTCGAAATATTAAACCTATCAAGAGCTAGCTCCAAGGGGGAAAGCACGGAATCCTGGAATCCTGAATTCCCCTGGATTCCAAGGATTCCCTATGATTCTTTAGGATTCCAAGGATTCTCTAGGATTCCTTAGGGTTCTCTAGAATTCCTTAGGATTCTCTAGGAGAATCCTAAGGAATCCTAGAGAATTCTAGAGAATCCTAAGGAATCCTAGAGAATCCTAAGAAATCCTAGAGGCTAGCATGTTATCTGTATTTATGTAGGCTGTATTTTATCAAATATTTTCTTCTCACCTGGTATAAATCATAAAATCGAAAAATCTGATTCTGTTAAGTTTTAGTGGCAGGTCTTAGCTGTGATTTAAAACAATCCCGAGCTTTCTAGCTCAAAATGGCGGAGAAATTTGGGACGCACGAAAACGTAAAACCAAAACATCTCATTTTGAGAAAAACGCAAAATAACGAAAAAATGTCGTCTTTTCCGGTAGAGGTTTTCAGAAA